CTTGGGCTTTTGGTTAGGGGATTACTTTGGACTGTATTTATTAGTGTTTCTGAGCTCTATCCATTCTGCAGTTGTGGAAAGAGCACAAATTAATATACTTTGCAAAAACACCGCAGCTACTTGCATTTTTGAAAATCTTATTTCACTATAATGGACACAGTATTCCTTAGCTTTGTTTCTGTGTGCCTGTCGTGATTTGGGGGTTTTCTTGTTTGTTGGTAGTAAAACAGCATGAATTTAAACTATCAGGATACGTTCAGCTGAAACGATGAGAACATTTTATAAACTATATGACCTCTGACTTGGAATAATGTGTCATAAACCTACAGGATGTTTTCTGCAGTTCACTGCCTTTGTATTCATTTGCAGTTAGCAGGGGGATCTCTCTGAACAGTCTACCTTATCAAGACGCCAAATGTATTTGTGAAATCTGGTAATATGTCGTATATTTTGCCTCTGTCACATGACACTATTGTCAGAACGATAAACATCTTCATAGCATTTTAAAGTTGTATCTTTGGCACCTAGGAGAGTATATGTGCCAGAAATCCTTTCCACAGATTCTTCGCTTTGAACTTAGTATTAATTTTTCAGTTTTTCAGGAAACCTTTTTTAAGAAGACTAATGTCTCTGAACAGATCTCAGAAATGAATGCTGGCAACTAACTTAAAAATAGTAGCTGCTGTGGACATCGAACTGTTTTGGCAACAGCTACTTATTTTAAAAAGCAGTGATATTAAAAGGGACTTTTTACCTCCCAGTTATTCATGAACAGTGTTTATTAGGGTAGAGAGAAGTAAAGTTATTTATCAACTAATGTTCTACTAATTTGCCTGTGGTTTTTCTTAAACGATTGTCCTACTTTTAATCCATGCTCTGTCCTACCTCCATCATCATGATATCTAAGCAGAGTATTGGGTATTATCTGTGTCCCTGAGTGTTTGGTATATTTAGTAGCTCATTATTTTTCTAGGTATGAGTAAGCCGGTAGTATTAACAGTGAATGTTAACCGTTTTGGCCACATAGTTTAAACTCTAAGCTGGTCACAGATGCTGTTATTGAGACACTTGGTAACAGAAAATCTTTGATTCATAACAGAGAGCATCATATGCCCAACATCCTTGCTGTTTGGCTATGTAGGGGAATGGGAGGTATTATCATTTGGTGCTTTGTATTGATTTGGGGATTTTTTTTGTGTTGTGGGTTTTTTGTTTGATTTGGTTTTCAAATTCAAAAACAACTGCAACGCTTTGTATGTGGTGATAAGGCTTTTTTTAGTAATGTGAGCAATCATCTTTTATCCAAGGAAAATGTCTTATACATTAGGAACAGCACATAAATTTCAAGTATGGTGAACGTGATAAATGCTTTAATGTAACTCTGTGTAGGGTATGAATGTCTTGACCACATTAACATGGCATTTTTTCCATGGAGCAAGAGAGCTCTGTATTCAGTTTTGGACTGCTTATGGATACCCTTGTTTACTATTCCTAGTTATAATGTCATTTTGAGATACTAAATATGGCTTCTTAAGCCTGGTTTCAAGATAATGTTGTTCTTCAGGATAGTAGTCAATAAGTCGTCTTGGTACAGTGAAGTTTTGAAATTGCAGCAGTGGTGTTATGCTTTTAATAAAATTTGGTTATGTTTTGTTGCATGGTATTCTGCTGTTTATACAATTTGCCCGTTATCTTTTTATTTCTTAAGGGCATTGTGTAAAATCACAGCAGCTACGTAGCAAGCTTATACAAGTATCTAAAAACAACGAAAGAGATGTAGTACTAAATGGTGAATGGTGTTCTCTGATGTGGCTTTGAAAAAAGAGTTTCCCTTTGATGGATTTGAAGAGAAGCTGGCCACTTTCTGCGACACTGAATGCTGGCTTGTGTCATCCTTTGGGGGAGTTTTTTCAGCAGGTTTGTGTCACAGTAAGCACAGCTAAACAGCTCAATAGTTGTTCCGTTTCCTTCACACATTGTATGTAAAAGTCCTGGCATGAATGTTCCCATAAAGTTCAAAGACCACGAATTTGTAATGTGGGTTGGTAACAAATGGCTACAAACAAAATATGGCTTTATTAGCTACTTCTAATGGCCTGTCAGATTCTATACAATGCTTGCTTTCCTTCTCCTAACTGCTCTGATATCTGGAGGGCTTGACCTGTGGGTCTCTGACCATGTGGAGTCACTGAGAGAGCCCAAATGAAAAGTTGCACAGAATAGCGCTCCAAGCACTTTTGTTGGGGTCACAATTAGGAGGAAATCTCAAGCTTTTGAGAAAGCATGGGAGTTAGGTACTCTCTGAAGGAAAGGAAGTCATAAACAGAAATTGTTCCCTATTAGAGTGGAAGAGTAAAGGCGGAGATGCCTGAATGAAATTGTCTGGAGAACAGCTACTACAGAATATATTTACTGTGAGAAAGCTAGGGCAGACTTACAGGAAAAAGCTTCCAAATGATATATCTGCAAATTTGTTGTTGGAGTGAAGGAGCTTGTGTCAGCAGTGTGCTGTGTATCTATGAAGACTAGTCCTCTATTTTGTCTTTAATGAGTAATTTTGTAAATGTTCATGTTGGATTGCTCTGATAGAATGAAGAGCAGAAAACACAAATGAATTTAATTTTTTTATTGGCACGAGAATGCAAGTAATTTCAGATAGGCGTTTGTGTTTTTGCTATTACTTTGTTTTGTTTTAACAAGGTCCTTTTTTGCTGCAGGTTAGGTCTGCTTGTTCAGGGTGTGAAATGTCCTGCCTGAGGTTGCCATGCTTATGAAAAACCTGAGTTTCTGCTTATTTTTCTTGTTGCAACCTACAGGTGAAGTTCAGTGGGCAGTTGAACTGTTGTAAGCCAGGGCAGTTACAGTCCTGCCGTCTACCCCACAGCGTGTGGGCTGTGCCATCCCATCTCCTTCACTGTCACTCTTGGGACTGGTCAGTGGATTTGACTTGGAGAATTGAACCAATTGAGAAGTAATCACTCTGTTCTGGGGTTAGCTTTTGACTGAGTCACTGTGTAATTGCGTGCGCATCGGTGGTACCTGAGAAGAGAAGATTTTATTTTAGCCACATCCTGAAAGACTGTATGATCTTGCTGGAAGGGTTTAGGTTGCTGTCATCCTGTCAGCTGAGACATGGTGGCACAGCAGGTCCTGGTGTTCACAGTCAGGCCCTGCAGCAGTCACAGAGCCCCAAACAAAAAGAAGACACTTCACTTCTTCTTGTAAGGTAAATTTTCTGTGAGTTTGCATCCCTGAGCTGTTTAACACCATCAGCAAGTGCAAGCCCAGAGCCCATGAGCACAAGGGTCTGAGGAGGGGCAGGGAGGGTGGGCATGTGGTGGCCCTGAGCTGCGCTGGTGTAAGCTCTAGGGAAATTGTGGCCTTAGTCTCACAACTCAGCTCAGCTTCTTCTCGGGTGTACTGGAGGTCATGCAGTCTTGGAGGGGGAAGGTTGTGTCTGGAGTCAAGGGAATCGGTGTTTTACTAGGTCACTCAGAATTCTTAGTTCGTGGATTATTTCTATGACATTGCTTATTCACTGGGTCTTTTCAAAGGCAGAGTAATTTCTGTGCCAGACAAAATAGCCCGCAATGGAGGTAGAATGCCACTTGTAGCTTGTGCGGTGCCATGACCTAAGAAATTTCACTGTGGTTACAACCACAATACAGGCTCTATAGTTGTATGACCTTCGGTTTCAGGTAGGTCTCAAATAATACATACTGTTGCTTGGACAGATAAACTTTTTAAGATGCCAGTTGCCTTAATTCATTATGTTTGGTACTGTGGAAAACAGGACATCAGCAATGCCTTCCTGATTTTATTAACTGCTTCACAGTTCTGTTTTACCTCATTTTAATGAGCCTCTGAAGGATATTTTGAGTGCTGGACAGCCATTCCTCTGGTCAACACACCTTTATCTTTGTAGAAGGAGAGTACTAAAATAGATTTCAGAGGACCTCTGTTGAGAACTAGGAGCGAACTACATGCAAAACTATGTATACTTGGCTCACAGTACATCATTTCAGATGCATCTTGATAGGTGCAGGCTGAAAATGCATGGGATGGTTTGGGAATCCACATTCTGTCTCATTTCTAGAATAGGAAGTAGCTTGGAAAGTCATCTTGAGCAACAGCGCTCCCTGAACAAATGCTTTTAATAGAACAGGAAAACAGTTTCCAACATTATGTGAGAAACTGTGGTTGAGAGTTAGCAGGAAATATCTTCTTTTCTCAGAGGTTAAACTACTGGGACGAGGGACTCTGGTGGCATTTGTACAGAGCTTAGTCCAGTAAGCCCTAATCATGATTAAGGTTGTGGGCACTACCATAATGTAAATATTAATTACCACTGTAGCCTCTCTGGTAAGGACAAATCAGTACTGAAAGAGAGATAGTGCAGCAACTCTTCTCTTTTTTTTTTTTTTTTTTTTTTTTGTAACCATGTTGGATTTTTTGCAGGCAAGGAACTTAGAAAGTTTGATCTAAATTTCAGTGATATTTTAAAAGTCTGGAATAGTGCTTCTGATTTGAGAAAGGAGGAGGAGGAAAAAAAATCTGTAAATGGATTCTTGTTAATTCTTGGGAGGCACATGGAGTTGCCAGTTGATAGATGCATGTGTAGCACAATTCAGTCCTGTAGGTACTCGCTTCTATTCATTTCTGTATCTGAAAAAACCTGAGTGTGTTAAATCATGAACAAGAAGGAAATCTGAGCATGTAATACTTGTGAATTAAATTTTCCATTGTTTTTACATCTAGTAGGATAGGACTGGTGTGCCTCTCTCCTCTACTTCCATTTCTTTTTCTCTGCAATGTTGTAAAATAACTGCATGATCTTGTTTTCCTTTGTTTGGGTCAAGAAATTTTAGCTGAAAATTGTTACTCTGTGAAAGAAGATTATTGACTCAACAAGCCTTCAATTTTCAGTGAATAACACTCCCACCCTCTAGCTTCAGGAACATGTGGTGCATGCATTCTATTTTAAAGTACAACTGTAATTTAAAACTGAGGCAGTTTGATGCCCCACTGAACTTTGTTTAAGCCTAGAATAAAAGGAAAAAAGCTTCAAGTTGCAAAGAAGTGACTAAGCTTTCTCAAAGCCTTTTCTTAGCCAATATGCACAGAGTTGGAAAAAGTTGCTATTTTTTCCAGGTCATTTTAATTCTAGATGGAAGTGCCATTGCTAGGTTTTTTTTCTTCTTCTTCTTTTTGTCATTCCATGCAATAAAACTGTAGCTAGAAAAGGTTTCATACAATACATATATAAAGAGAGAGAGATCAAGTGTGAGGTGCCAGACGTGCTCTGTTGTTGGTGCTGGTGTTGTGAGCTGCTGTGGTGCCACTGGAGATGAAGATACGCTTTGTGTGGGTCCTTGAAAATCTTACCCCACTGTGTGTTTTATATTTGGCTTCAGTGAAGCCAGGATCTCGTGCAGGTGATTAAACTGATTCACTGTCCGCCAGTCAACTTGTACATTCTGTTTGAGTCCCATTTTAGGGGAAAAGTACAATTCAGGTAGTGCACAGCAGCCCTTGGCATATGTTACCCATGTAGGGTTAAACTGAAATGTGGAAGTCACAACTGTTGATTCTCGAATTAAATATTCCTGAATTTGTAATGTGAAGAGAAGGTCCTGTTGTTACTCATTTGTGTTTTGTCTTTTACAAGACTGTTTGGTTTTGCTCGATAGATTGATCATATTTATTCAAAAAACAGCATTAAGTTGTTACTGAAGTATAAAAACTAATTTCACCAGGTATTGTAAAAAAGATACTTAGCTGTTCTGTCACCTTTTCTGTTTTCAAAATACTTCACAATGTTTGCCATATCCCTGCAATAACAAAATTACTATTTTAAGATCTATGAAAATTTACAAATATAAAAAGCAGTATTTAGTCTGACCTCTACATGAAACTTATTTGGAAACCTGCTAAGGGATTATAGGTCCCAGTAGTGGTTAAGGTTGCAAAAACTTGTGTTTAAATAGGCCGATGTTGTCCTAAGTGGAATATTAAAGTATTAGCAGCTTTTTTCCTGCAGTGTTTTTAGAAGCCATGAAGAGTTGCATCAATGTACTTTATACGTCCAAATACCAGGACAATATTGGTGTTGATTCGAGAATTAAAGAAATGAGATACTAATTTGGGCAGTTGAAGCATTTTTATTTTTTTTCCAAGCCTCCAGTTGTTCCCTCCCCCAGAGGCTGCTGCTCCTGTAGCTGGGATGACTGAACAGCGTTCGTGGTAGCCGCTGAACCCCAAAGCTTGCAGCCTGAAATGAAAGGCAAGCTGAAAGCCCCCAAGGTTCCCTTAATATGCAGGGCAGCACACTGTAGTAGCACGGGTGCTTCTGCGTGCATGGTTCAGATGTAGGTGCTGCAGGGGCAGTAACTGCGCTGGCTGTCTTTTTAATCTGCCTAAATTTCCAAGTCAGCGCCTTTAGGTTCTGCGTTTGGGAATCGGACTCTAAAATAGTAGGATGTTTTTGGGCTTGGGGATGAATTTTTATTTTCTGAACATTGTACACAATGTGTGTACATATATACAGTGTGTATGAAGGCATGCATGTTTTACCTGCTTGGTTATTTGTAAATTTTGAGTTGATAGAATACTATAAATTCCAAAGCTTAATATATTCACTGGTGCATGTCTTTTGTTCATGCCTGTGTGAACATTGGGATTACAATGCAGAAACTAAGACAAAAGAGTATTACTCACTTGAATACCATTTCAGGAAGTACCTGAGACACTGTAAATGCATTTTCTTTCTTTTATTTTTATTACAAGTATTCCTGTAAGATAGGATTTATTTTTTTCAGAGTAACTCCTTTACTTGTGCTCACCAACCGTTGTGAAGTGTGACCTCAGCTTCATAACCTTCACTAAAGACAGTAACTCATTCTGACCAGCAACATCTGAGGCTTAGCAGTAGATGCCTTTTCTTTTTCTTCTACTAGCCATTCCTGTTTGCTGGAAATGTGTTGGTTTCTGGTGCTATTGTGGCAGCTTTTGTGTTCTTTTCTTTTTGGTGTTGTTTTTTTTTAAAAAAAAAAAAAAAAAGTAAAAATATCAGTCTTTGATGTGAAACTCACTTGTGAGTGGTCCTGGGCCGTTTGCTGTTTCTGTGTAAGCAGATGTTGGTACAGTCACGGTCAACAGTGTTAAGATCAGGCCAGGTTTCACGGTGCTTTATCTGATTGTTGATGGTGTGTCCATAATTGCTGGGGATTTTAGGTACCATCTTAGTGCAAATGGGAAGTGTTTGTGACGCATTATTTGCAGTACTACACTGGAATCCCAGTAAAGACAGTAGTGCAGCGTGTGAGACTATTCACATTTTGCTTTTTTTTTGAAGTTTGAAACAGGTTTTTAAATTTCTCTCAAGTGTGTTATCTGGAAACTTAATGTCTTGTAATGCTTAAGCCTCTGAAACCTACCTTCCTTTGCTGGAGCCATACACTTTAAATTCACTATGAAGTCTTCCCTTGAAGACAGCAATTCATGGTGGCTTTTTATAGAATCTGTGCTATATTGTGCTGTATGTGAGAAGTGCTTCTGAAGTGTGTTACATGTAAATAGGCTTCCATTATCAATTTACTGTTAAAAAAAATTCTATATATATGCACACACACTAAATGAGGGGGAGGGGGGGTCTGCATTTTTCTTCTGTGCTTTAACTAACTGCATCAGTTTTCCTTAACATCATGCAGATTCTTCTGTGCTATTTCCCACACAATTTCAAACACAGTTCTGCTCCCACCGGACTTTATAAAGAGGGTCCTGTTTGAATCAGGAATGTAATTTCAGAGGCTGAAGCATCATAGTGTGTTGAAATCAAGATAGAAAAGCAGATAATATCATGGAAGAGGCTACTTTCAGTTCCTCATGTTATGGCTTTTGGTCTCTTTCCTTCCATGCAAACAATTTGCAGATGACCCTTTAATCATCTCAACCTGTGAAATGAGACTTACTGTGT